GAATCCGGCAAGTTGGCCCAATAATAACGAAACTTAAATTCCTTAAGGGCCTTCGTTGCTTTATAAAAAAGTTTCTGCATTCCCAAATTTTTAAACTTCTCATTCAATTTCATCCCTACATGATGCATGCAGGTGATGTGTGCTGCATCAGAAAACAGTTGATACAAAGTTAATTATACTTTGATGTCGATTAGACACAAAACCCAAACCATCTACACTCCTTATCAAAATCTTAACTCTTTCTAAAAACTATGTCCATGACTCATCGGATTCCTTGTCAACAATCCCAAATGTAAGAGGTAGATTTGACTGGTACGATCTATTAAGGATGCAATAAGTATGACACCCTTCTACTTCCCCTTCAGATATGCTCCATCGATAACTACTACCGAGCGTATGCAACTTGTAAAACCCCTAATCGAGCAACATAGGACCATGAATGGGTACTTGAAATATATGTTGTCCTTCAACTTCATGTCAGAAACGATGTCTTCATTCACAGCATTCAGAGCATCTCCATACTTATGGAGATTAGTATATGATTCTTACGGCGATCTCACCAATAGGCCTAATGCAACTTCTTCGGCCCGCCATGCCTTTTCATGTCAAATATTGGCACCGTAATTCTTCCTCATATCATTAACAATATCTTTAGGTCTGTATCGACGACTAACCTCCTCGAAGTTCTACTTTATCAACTGATCGCCACCCAACTATTAGCTTGTCGATGGTCGTGCGTCAGTGTATCTCGTTTGTAGTTGTGATTCTTGAAAACTTAGAGATGAGGAAGGTGTTCGAACTTTTAACTCTTCTTGCACGCAGTCGTCATTTGCATCTCTCTTCCGTGCATCCAACGATTAACAATCTCAAAGTAGATTTCTTAACACGAAACTCAAAATAATTTTTGATCGTCAGCACGAACAATTTAAATCATAATTCATCCTTATACTGAAAAACAGTACCATTTGCAATGTCATCTACCGAGTTATCCTCATTACCAATCGTAACGATTTGCTCTAAGGATGTATGCACCCACTCAACTGTTGGACATGGAGCATTCCTACTTCCATAGTGCACTTCAACAACAGGTGTTGTTGATGATAAAACACTGTCACAAACAGGCTCTATCTCATCCTCATTCTCAGTGGGTGAGTAAACAACATCCTCGAGATTATCCCCAACCATCATATATTCATGGTCATCATCATCCTCATCTTCAACCTCATCCCACAAACTGAAATATTGTTTATTGTCACCTGAATTGCATGGGACAACATTGTCCGTCAATGAAGTCATTACTTGTACAGAAGTTAAGGGATGAACAGTACGTAAGGGGAGTGCATAGGATTCAATGTGACAGAAGGAAAATTTTTGTCCTACGTAGTATGAAAATGAAGAGAATGTTTCAATTTGGAAATAGAAGTGTATATCGTGTGAGTTGCTACCATTGTTGTGTCTTTCCTTTGGTACAATAGATACGCAAAAGGGCACTTGAGAGGGATGTGGAAGGCTTTTAAGGAAAAAACTAAGGCTTGTACCATTGAAGATATGATAGTTCGACACTTGGTACTGGAGCTCAAATTTGTAAATACATTGTATCACAATATTGAACAGGTTAGGATTTATTCGAGTAAGCCCAAAGATCGCATTTATGAGGTCTCTATATGTTATACCCTCATCGACATCCAAACCTCCCATAATTCCATTTTTACGTACAGTTTTTACCTCATTCCACTGACCCCATAACTAACAAATAAGCACAACATTTTATTATGCAATTGACAAAGCACAAGTAAAAAATGATAACATATGAAAAACAAAAAAAATGTAACCCTTAGGCAAGGACCACATTTTTCCACTGGAGATGTTTTCGATCTATAAACCACATGCGAGGAATACGATCACACGCAGATTTTCTTCCTTAACATGACCTCGGGCGAGGACTACAATCATACATCTGAGGTTCTTCTATATAAATAAAACTCACCCAGAAAAACATAAACCCAGTGCAATGATAGTTATAAAACTGCACAAAAATGAAGAGAAAAAAAAGTTGATCGTAATATTGAAAACTCCACGCGAGGACTTGAATGGAACTAGTATAAAACCAAACTAAATGTAGAGCCAAATCAAAAAAAAAAAAACTTGACCAACAATACTTTCCAAAGGTAGCCCATTAAGAAAACAATCATATAAAAAAGAACAGGAGAATTCTACCTCCTTCCAACTCTTCAAATTGAAGTTACAATTGACGCTACCTTCTTCAAACTTTCAAAGTAGACAATCGAAGTACTTTTCAATTTTTTTCAAATTATGCAGAGATAATATTCACGATAAAGACTTTGTACTTTGAAATTATTAATGGTAATACAAATTGGTTGATAAAACTTAATACGAGGGTACAATGGTTGGTGAGAAGTAAATTTGCAAATTAAATGTACCCCAGGTAGGTTTTATCTCGAACTTGGGCGGGGTTTTTCCCAGCGATCGTCAATTAAAAGTTAGGGCATAAGTAGGGGTGTACATTTATCACCGAAGAACCAACCCGACTGCACCGACCTTAGTCGGTCGGTTTATGCTATGGTTCGGTCGGTGTCGGTTTTGTATTGTGAAAAGCCAATTGGTCGGTCGGTCGAAGAAACAGGGAAAACCAACCAAACCGACCGAATTTTTGTAATTAAAAAAATGGTAAGAATATAGACTATTCGAGGGGTTTGGGAAAAACTAGCTCTTTTTGGAGGGCCTACTTTGATATATGTCCCTATCCCCAAAACCATGTTATCTAACCACTTGTTGACATCAATTTTGTGTTAAAATACGTATTTGTCCTCTTCATTTTTTTTAAATTTATCACTTTCTCTTCCCTTTACCTCACCTCTTTCCTCTTTCATCTCGTTACAAATTCTCTTTTTCTTAAAAAATCCAACACCCACTTCCTCTCTTCTTTACTCACCATCGAAAAACCCTAAATATTTATTTCTATCTCTCTCCTTATCTCTCCTAAGCCGCCTCTTCTCATTCCCATTCTTTTTTCTTCTCCTTCTCTGAAAAAACCAGCAACAAGCTGCTCCATTTACAATTTTTTTTCGATGAGAGACAGACGCCGAGAGTGATAGCGAGAGTGCCGAGAGCGAAAACAAGAGTGTCGAGAGCAAGAGCGAGAGTGCCGAGAGCAGGAGCGAGAGGGAGAGGGGCGAGAACGGGAGTGAGAGAGGCGAGAGCGAGAGGGACGAAAGTGGGAGTGAGAGCTTTTTTTTTGTGGGCTCTGTTTTTTCTTCTTTTTTTTTTAATTTGGCGGGTTTCTATGAACTCCTTGATCTTGGTGTTCTTTGTTGAGTTTTTATATCTGTTTGAGGTGTGACCCCATTCTTTTGTGCGGTATATTTGTTATTGTTTTGTTTTCTGAATTTTAAGAACCAACAATGGAGTTAGGATTGAGAGGAGATGGATGAAGAATAAGGAAGAGAGAGAAGAGAGAGGTTCATGCCTTCAAAATCAAAACAAAAAATCTAAAATCAAAGGAAAACAAAAAAAAATTGAATGGAATGTGGTGTAGAAAAACATGGAAGAAAGAGATAGGGAAAGGGAGGAGTGCACGTCCTTAACCAGTGAGAAAAAAAAAATCACGAGAGGGAGAAGATCTACTGGATGAGAGATAGAGAGAAATGGAAGAATGAATAAGAGAGTCAAAGAGAGAGTTGAGAGGAAGAGGAGAGATAAAAAAATTAAAGAAAAAATGAGGGCAAATACATACTTTCATACAAAATTAATGTCAGAAAGTGATTAAAAAACAAATTTTGAAGGTGGATACATATATCAAAATGGGTTCTTTAAAATGGTCACTCAGCCCAATCTCCCACTATTCAGCCCCTCGTTAATTAAGGCGGTTTCCACTAAAAAAACAATCATTATTTGTTAATCCTATTTTCTCACCTCTACCCTTCCCCGAGATGCTTCTCCCATTTCCCCATCAAATTTCATCTCTTCCCCTCATATTTTCTCTCTCTTTTTGCAGTTCTCTTGGTTTTTCATACCTGCTTCGAACTCTATCGCGTTCGTGTTCTTCATGGTTCTTCCTTCTACTGTTCGTGCATGTTCTTCATTTTATCTTCTTCGAGTTCGTGCCTTCGAGTTTGTGTTCGTGCGTTGTTTCTTCAAACTCTCATCTTCTTATATATCTTCTACATCATCTTCTACATTATCCTCTTCATCTCCTTCAAGGAAAAAAAAATCAATTTGTCGAAAATCGACCAACCAAACGGACTGTTTAATCGGGTAGTGGAAAAGCACATATTTCGATCAATCAGTTTCCTTGCTTAAAATCAACGGGGTGTTGATCGAGGTCAATTTTGACATAAAAAACGACCCGACCAATCGATGTACACTCTTAGGCATAATAGTCATTTCCTCTCATTTGATATTTCATTAATGCTTAAAGTGCAGTCACAAAATGTTTTAAAATAGTAGGTCAAATGAGCAAACCCAAAACTTTTGTAGGTGATTTCAGTCCATTTCCTATTTGTTTGCTATCAGACATTTCGGTCAGATTTTACTTTTTCTTTTTTTTACTTTTTCCTCGTGCAGATGTTCAAATTTATTCAGTAGGAGTTTTCATCATATCAAAGAACAGACAAATTTGAAAGAGAGAGAGAAAGAGAGGGAGAGAATTTTTCTCCCTCCACTGCATACACACACATCTAGAGTATCCAACACTGCAGCCTCGGCTCTTTTGGCAGCCGCTGCTCTAAGGCCATACTTCAGAAGCATAGCAGCTCTGAGAAGGGTTGCTAAAGGATTTGCCTTATCCTACATATAAAACCATGTTATCTTATGGCTTAAAACTTTGCATCCTTATAATATTCTGATCTTTTAACACAAACCTTTCCGGCAATATCAGGAGCTGAACCGTGAATAGGTTCAAACAGTCCAGGTCCTGTGCAAACAATTCATTTCATTATGGAAGGAAAAATGAAGAAAATTTAGAGAAGAGGACAACAATGTGAGAGAATAATTTGACTACCAATTCACGAAGACTTGCAGATGGAAGCATCCCAATACTCGACAAAATATCACCGAATATGTTGTTTGTCAAAATTGTATCAAACTGCAAATTTCAACCATCAGTCCCAATGGAACTTATCTTTCCTATCATAGGGGGGGCTACGAGAGTTCACTTGTTGCCCCTTCTAGAAAGTAAGATTATTTTTTGATGCAGACCTGTTTTGGGTCACGAATTAGCTGCGTTGCAGTGTTATCAACGTACATGTGCCAGAGTGCTGTCACTCTTTTCCTCCAAAGCATTGATGCCTGTAAAATAGTTAGTTTCATTGTAAGGTTTCTACATAATGGAACAGGTGACCTCACTACTTTCAAGTTTTAACTGTGGTAAGTTCTTACATTCACAGACGGTACATAACATAGTATTCTCTATTCAATAGAGCATGATTATATTTCAATTTTCAATAGAATAGGAAAACCTTGACTTAGATCATTAATCTTCAAAAAAACTTGAAGGAAAGCAGATGAGACAGTTACACATTCTCAAAATTCAAATTTGAACCTATTTCCAGCAAAACAAAGGAATGGTCTGGGGTATTATCTCAAATTTCCTAATAACTTTTTCCAATCGGGAAAAGAACTATTTCAATGGGAAAAGAAATTAAATATATAAAAAAGGCTAAGGCATGACTTCGGGATTACAAGATTCTAATTGGGTAATGATAGAAAAATTTCTATAATTACAGATGAATAAAAATTAAAAAAAAATGACAGAGAAGACCAACTAGAAGAAAGAAACATAATACCGTCCTTCCTCCCCTAGTTCCTGACGTTCCAGATATTTCACAGGAACCATTTCCCTTTGTGTCTGCASCACCAGCACCAGATACTGGTTTGAATGACCCATTGGTGCCGCTTCGACCTGAAATACCCTTCGCACCTCCATTTTAGTCTCCATGATTCCATAACTAGCAGCTATCAACTGTGTTGACCATAACAGGTTTTTACTATCTTAAAAGTTTTCTGTAATTTTTAACTTTAAACAAGTATCTTTGATGATTACCTTATATGGATGCTGGATGGCTGTCTATGAAACATAAAACTTCTACACATGGACTAGATACCACTACTATTTTGATATCTAGAAATTCTTAACCTCTCAGAGAATGAATTAGTCTTGCTCTAATTCATAATTTAAAAAGTGGTAAGTTTTTCAGTATTCTCAAATGGTGTAGAGCCCGATGAGGGGTGGGGGAAGTTAGATAGGAAAAGACTAGAAGTGTAATGATAGAGACTTTTCTTCTGACAATTCATTGACGTTTTTCTTTTTCTTTTTTTTTTTATAACCGAAAGTCGAAGCTTTGCTCTTCTATACCCAATGACACCTGCACTCTCCGCAAGGCACAGATCCGAAAGACATCAAGACTTTTTGGTATTAAGCTCACCAGAAAATTCGAACTTGATACCTCGAAACCAGTATGACCAAGATACCCCAAGCCCTTGCCCAACCGGACTGCCTTTTGGGAACGACAATTCATTCACGTATTGATTTATAATGTCTATAATGCTTGAAAACTAAAACTTTGTGAAAAGGAAAAGCCAAATTAAAATTATATATATGTTAAAAAAACATAAAACACGCAAGACAAGCCCCTAAGTTATCAACATTTTGAATATAAATACACTCGGGAAAAATATTTTCAGGCTTCAAAAGAAAGCTGAAATCATCAACTTAACCAAAGTTCAGAAAGCGGTTCCCCATTGTGGCATCTCTTGACACAGCCCAGTACAATCTCTTGCAGTTGTTTCTCAATATCTTCCATGGTTTGGCAAGCATCAATAATCTGCAATTAAATCAAGGAAAGTCCAAAATGCAATCAGTCAATCTTTTTTTTAATACGAAAAACAAGCTTCCACCTAAGATGAACATGAAAAAACAATGGAATCATCGTGCATAAATTCGTTGAATACTACTGTTTTGATTTACTTCTAGTTACTTTTGGTCATAGACGGAAAGATTTTCTATCTTAATAATATATAGGCAATTCTCATCCATTTGGTCGGACACGATACAACTATTCACAGTTGAAACTTTTTGTGAGGTAACAACCCTCACAGTGATCTTTACTTCTTAGAAAGAGCCCGTAGACAATACAAAACCACAAAAAAGAGCCCTGAGGCAACAAACAGACCCACCTATCCGAGAGGGTGGGTAATCTCTCCCAACAAGCACAAAAGCTGACAA